CTGGTCCCCAGGGATTTTGCAGCTGGGAGTTTTTCTAAGCTGAAGATGGTGTCTTCTTAAAATCCATGGATGAATCCCTTTTTGGCTCCATGTAATCTTTGCACAGCTGCAGCATCCTGAAGCAGGGAGTTTCACAGCTTAGCTATGTGCTGCGTGGAGGAGCAGATCCTTTGGTTTTATGGACGTGGCACCTTCTAATTTGATTTTGCAACCCCACCTTTCATATAAGATAATTTATACCGTGATTCCCTGAGTAGGGAATCCTATACCTTCTCCATGCCACTCAAGAATTTACAGATCTTTCAATCAAATGTCCACAGTGTTGACAGACTTTCCTTTGGAAGATCTTCTCTTTTGTATACATGAAGGCAAAGCAAGCTAACCAGAGCCTTTGATGTTAACTTTCTTGATAGAGCATTGTTTGACTCCTAAGAAGGTGGGTTGGTGTCGGGGATCTTTTCCACGTTGGTTTTACAACCCAAGCCTTCAGCAGTGTGAGGAGTTCATCTTTGGTGGCTGCAAGCCCAACAAGAATAACTATTTATGGGAAGAGGAATGTGAACTTGCCTGCAAGAATGTTAGAGGTGAGTCTGCTTCGAAAATCAGCCCACTCTTTCTCATTGGATTGGGATGACCCTGTGGGCAGGTACTACAACTTCTTGGCTGGCAGCTAGTTAGAGCTCAGAAAGCTAAGGAGGCTGGGCTAATTATGAATGGGGAGTCCTAGTCTTACACAGCCAGCATATCTGACTGATCCAGCTCCTGGGGCACTACTCCCCTGGTCAGTGTCCCAGGTGTGTCTCTTGCTGCAGAAACCCTCACCAAGTCTCCATGTTGCATCTGATACCTAAATTCAGAGGGTAGCATTGTGCTGTGAAGGACCCAGAAGTGTTTCACTCCTAAAATGAAGTTAAACTTTTGCCTTGGCACTCTCTTAGCCAAGTCTGAGAATCACTTAGTGCTACTGCAGATAAATGGGCTGAGCCTCTGCCAGGCCCTTTGCAGAGCACAGCTTAAGGTGAAGACAAAAGCCTTGGAAAAGACTGTTTGGGCATGGTCTAGCTAGTGGTGGGAAGTTCCCCTGTGCTCCTCCAGGCTTACCTTCAGCGTTTCTGGGTGGACACTCATATTTTCCCTCCCTAGCCCTTACAGGGCTTCCTTCCAGAAAACATGCACTTCTTAGGTGAGGTGTGAAGCTGATCCTGAGCTGACAAAATGATGTGGTGATACTTTTTATTTTATTTTATTTTATTCATACTTTTTTTCCTTCTCTCTTCAGGTTCTGTTGGTGGGCGACAACCGCCAGGTGAGCCTCCTGTACCACTGTGTAATCCTGCTGTGAGCTCAGGCTCAGTGTCTGATGTCCATTACTGTGGCTTTTCATTAGCACTGGAGACTCATTTCTTTACTAGGCCTTTCACTTTCATGTCATAGGATAATTCAGGTTGGGAGTTACCTCTGGAGGTCATCTGGTCCAAGCCAGTACTCAGAGCAGGGCCAGCTGTGAGTCACGTTGGGCTGCTCAGGACTGCATCCAGTCCAATTTTGGAGATCTCCAATGAAGGAGATTTTATACTTTCCATGGACAACCTGTTTGATGACCCTTGCTACAGTTTTTTTCCCCTTACATTGAATAACTTTCCCTTGTTGCAACTTGTACCTGTTGCTGCTCATCCCATTACAGTGCACATCCAAAATGAGAATGTCTCTGTCTTTTCCATAACCTCATGCTAGGTTTTGTGCTCCAGCCCCTTGCTGAGTCTCTGCTGGATTCACTCCCGTATGGCAGTCCTTCTTGTTCACTGGGGAGCTCAGAACTGTGCACAGTACTGAGCACTTGGGGACCACCTCTGGAGCAGAGGGGAATAACTGCTCTTCTCCATTGGGTCTCACAGCCCAATGTGAAGGTTTATGTTTGGTTTTCCTAATTTATTCCCCCATGCTTGGGCATTGTCTCCATATTCTTCCAGAGTAGCTCATTCTTGCTTCCACCTTCTGTGTACTTCTGTTTTGAGAGGAAGCATGGCTGTGCCCAGAGCAATGTTCCATTTACAAACAAGAATTTATTAATTTTTTTACTGCAGGGTGGCACTGAACAGAGACCCTAACCAACCTGCCTTGCTTCTTTTTTGCCAGCCCTGTCAGCAGCTTTTAAGTCCCTGTGTAGCTGGGGGAAAGAATTAATTGTAATGAGCTATCTGAACTGTTTCTGATGCAGTGTGCAATGGGAACTGTCAGTCCCCCTTCTTCAGATGCAATGATGGCTGCTGCATTGATGCCTACCTGGAGTGTGATGAGACCCCCGACTGTGCTGATGGATCAGACGAGATGTATTGTGAACAATGTAAGTACTTCAAATTCTGGCTTAGACAACTTAGTATCTGCCCAGTGATGAGTGCAATGGAAGTTACAGGTGCTGACTTAATGCTTTCTTCTGTTCTTATGCCTGACCCTGCATTACCTTTTCCCATAGTTCTGCAGGTTCTACCATCTTCCATTTCTGCTGACTGCAAGAGCTGGTCTTCCTTCTGGGATGATTCCTGCCACTTAAATACTCTTCAGTTCTCTTCTCTGTAAGACTTCAGAGCTTGTCCTGCCCTCCCCTTCCTGTATCTTTCTCACTTTCTCACCTTACCTGCCCCCTGAGCTGGGAGATGGGAAATAAAACCACAATTTCTCTCAGGCTGTCCAGTGTCATAGTCCTCTGAAAATCCTCATGTTATACCAAAGTAAATGCACAGTGTTGAGCTGCACAAGACTGTAATCCCTCCTCTCACCCTGCCTCCCTCCTTCTTCTGACAGAATTCCTATAATCTCCTATATGTGGGTGTTTTGCTGCCTTTTTAGGTTGCAAGCATACGATGCATCTCTTTTGCCCTCTCTTAAACCCTACACTAGTGCTCTTTCACATTTCTACACTTCTTAAAACCTGGAGTGATAGTGGTTTCCCCATTCTTCCTGATGAAAGAAAAAAAAAAAAAAAAAGCAAGCAGCCCTTGTTTTCCTTAGTTTTGTCTCTGTGTTTGTGGAATGGAAATTTGGAATAGCTTCTTGTTACCACATTTTATTCTTTCCATGTTCTTCTCATAGCTTTGAGATACTTAAGAACCTCAAATTATGTCTCCTTTTCCTGGCTTGTGATAGCAAAGGAACATGCAAGAAAGCCCTCTCTGCCCATGTCTGCATGGACAGAGGCATTTCTTTTGTATTCCAATGGTGAGAGAAATTTTAACATGAAATGTTTCTCTTGCAGATGCTCGTGAGTTCAATAGACTGCAGAAAATCAACATCACACGTAAGCAGAGTATGTACCACGCAGAGCACCTGCTTTTGTTCTTCAGTCTGCTGTTGCATGGTAGAACTGCTTCTCTGTAGAATTGCAAAACCATATGCAGCATCTGTGTAGTCCCTGTACTAAAAATGAGCTAGAGCCTGCTCTCTGACTGTAAGCACAGCAGGCTTTCACTCTCCTTCCTAAACTTTTTCCACCCAAGCAGGTCTCATGCGTATTGGGCACAGTACCTGGCCTGTACAAAGCCCTGCAGCACTTTTTTTGGAAATAGTGCAGACCAAAGCAGCATGGGGGTCACAACAACAGCATAATAGGAGTAATCATACGCATGCCTGTGTTCAATCCCATACCTTTGCCTTGTCTTTACTAGAGTAGGCTGTGGCACTGTCACTGGGCTAAAAGAATACATCCCAAGTCAGCTTGAATGCAGCTTGCTTGTTGAGGAGACCTGAGCCAAGCTGTGGTTTCTGTGTGGCCAGGCTCTTCATGTTCCCTTCTGCCTCCTGAGGAGGACAGGTGGTTTCTGCAGGGGACTGAACCCAAGGTCTAGCATGACTGCATGATCTGATGTACCTCTTTCCTCCTGGCTTGTTGGGTTTATGGGCAGGTGGCAGCTCACTGTGGCAATGCCAATTTGAGCAGCTGGCAACTAGGCAACGGAGACCTGAGAGCCATTGCTTTGGCCATGGATTCCCTCTGCCATGGTGCTTGTGCTTCCATTGTAAGCAGAAAATGTTGCCACTCAGGGATCACAGTTCTTGGGCTAGAGCACCTCTCCCTTGCTTTCCCAGGTCACTGTGTGGACTTGCCTGATACTGGACAGTGCACCGAGAGCATCCCCCGCTGGTACTATAACCCATTTTCTGAGAAATGTGACCCCTTCACCTATGGGGGCTGTGGTGGCAACAACAACAACTTTGAAGAAGAGGAAGAGTGCCTGAAATCGTGTTCAGGCGTCACAAGTAAGCAGACATAGTGGGGACTGGAATTTTTACTGATCAAAATATGAAAATCACTCCAGACTAAATTCTCTGGTCCCAAAGAGGCAGTGACTTGGGAGCTTTCAGTCAAAGGAGCTCTGCTCTCAAATTCTGGCCATACGTCACAGTGTTCTTCAACATGACTGATGGCTCACAGGGAACAGTGTGTGTCTACAGCATCTTTCTACAATGCAGCCTGTCATTTCTCAGAGCTGGAAAACATTTTGGGTGCTGATGCTGAAAAAGGGGCAGAGGAGGATGGCAAAACTAACCAGAGATATGGTATGGCCTCTTTAAAGAGAATCTAACTGCCGAGTTTGGTTCCAGTTCTCCCAAATGGGAGGGGAGAAATTAAGAAAATCCTCAATATACTAGGCAGAAATTTTAAATAAACAAGAGGGAAAGGTTTATGTGTTGCTGTAAAGGCCAACAGTGGAAACAGAAGGAATTCTGCCAAGCTGTATCTCTTACGAGGCAAGCTGTTGCTGCTTTTCAGAAGTGCCACTCTCGGCCTGTCCTGAGAGCTCAGTCAGGAGGGATGCTGTATGCATTCAGTCACTTCAGAGCACTGGAAATACTCTCCTCACAAACCTATCTTATCCCCTGTTCCCCACCTTCTTTGTAAAACTTTTTCCCCCTTTCTGCTCCCAATTCAGAAGCAGATGCCATTGGTCGGAGATGGGAATCGTTTGAGTCCCAAACAGCTATGTTAAGTGAGTAACAGTTTTTTTCCTACAGATCTTGCTTACTGCATTTATGCTGTCCTGAAAAAAATAATAGCCTTTTTCTGCCACCCTGCTTTTGAAGCTGAGGGAGCAATGTGGGATTTGTGGGATGCTAGAAGTGGCAAGAGATGCTTTCGTGCCCTGTGGTCCAGTTTCTCCTTTGTCTGTGACTCAGTGGCTCACAGCAGAGGCTCCTCATTTTCCTTCCAGAAACCTGAATGAATGCTCCACTGTTCAGCATAAAAAAATGGCAAGTAAAATTCTTCCTAAGGGCCAAGTTCACATAAGGACCACTAAATTCTTCAAGAAAGAAGACCTAAGTGGGTATGTGAATAATGCTGGTTGGTAGACTGTGGAGAAATCTGATGACCCTATAGATGTTCTCTACAACTGTAAGGAACACCAAAGCTATTGAATTACTAGTTTTTAAAAGACTATCACATGAAGGTTGGTGTCCTTTCACCACAGAGCTGTAAGGTTTCTTTCTTCAGGAAAGATATCCTGAAGTTATACACTTCTGTTCTTCAACCCTAAAGATTGAGTAAATCTTCAAATGCACACCAGCTCTCAAATGCTTCATGGTTTGACTATCTGCTGATGATGCAGAAGTTTGGCTGGCTGTAGAACACCCGAGTGCTCACAGGCAGCACTGCTGTGAGCTATTTCCCCACAAACTCAGTCTGCCCACCATAGCTCACTCTGACAGCATTATCCCAACCAGGAGGTGCTTTCTGCACCGTTGGTGGCCTCCCTGTTGACGCAGGAAGCAAGGGCTTGATGTTAACAGGACTGTCAAATGGCCGAGCCTGCCCAAGTCCCCGAATAGCCTTTAGAGGGCGTGGTGCATCTGAGAAATGATGGGAACCATAGTATAGCAGAGACGGGCTGGCTATACTATTGTGCCATTCAGTTGCCTTCGCTCAGATGTGCATTGACCACCCTGCTGTCAGGCCAGCTCTTGCCCACCTCTTCTCTTTGCCAGTGCAGCTCTTGCAGCAGCTTTTGTGCTTGTTCCTTCCTGTGTCAGAGCTCAGGGAGCAGCCCTTCCAACCTGTCATTATGTTCCCTGCAGGTCCCTTTGAGGTGGTGATTGCCGTGCTCCTTGTGGTCTGCATCATGGTGGTCCTGGTGATCATCGGCTACTTCTTCCTGAAGAACCGGGAGAAGAGCCGCCGCCGCCGCCGCCAGCCGCCCACTGCTACCAATTCAACTGTCTCCACCACAGAGGACACTGAGCATCTGTTTTACAGCAGTGCCACCAAGCCAGTCTGACCTATAACCTCTCTCTCTCCAGCCCAGCACTAGGACATTCCCCCGTACTTCTGGAGTTCTGTTTTTAGACACAGGCTTGTGCCTGAAGGGCTCTCTCTTCAAAGACATTTGTAGCATCAGGCCAAGATGTAGCCATGATTTGGCAGTACTAGTGTTTGTGATTTGTCTTGGCTAAATGGTTGTGCTGGAAAGTGAGAATCTGGGGGCATTCTGATGCTCTCTGATGTCTATGCTTTCCTAACCTCACACAGTCCAGTGAAACTCTGAAATACATCTTTATTCCCACTCAAACCCAGAGCACAACTCCACTCAACTTAGTGAAGGACACTGGGACGGGATCTGTGAAGCATTTACATTGGTGAATGGTGCAAGCTCTCCAGAGCCAGCAATTTTTTTAACTTGTGCCACTTTCTTCCACCCAACCTTGTGTTTTCCTCCCTTCCCCCCCAGTCCTCTGCAAGGTGGCCCTTCCTCCTAGCAGTCCTGGTCTTGGTGAACCTGCTGAGAGCTATGTGACTCATGTAACCATCCAGACCTGTTCATGGGCTCTGTGACACTCCCCAATGGTTCTTGTTTTCAAGATGGAAAGAAACAGAAATACCTGCTTTAATCACTAGGTTTTGGTTTTTAACAGAAAAGCACACCTAGATTTTTTTCTACTGGCTGCCATGTTACAGCCTCCTACATACAGTATGTGTTCACCATCTTCTTACTGTGACTTGCCCTGGTTGCTTTTCCAGTGTTCAGTCTGACTCCAAACACCTTGACAAAATATCTATTTGTTCTCCTGTGAAAGGAAAGGAAATGGTGAGGGCAGGGTGGAAGGACCCAGCTTTCTCTCAGCTGGACCTTTGCTGCAGCTTTGATTTTGCTGTGCTCTCCACTGAGCAGGCAGCCTGACCCGAGTCCTTCTGAAGCACAGGAGCCCACCAGGTGCCACCAGTTGGTGTCCCCAGGCTTAATTGGTCCTGCTGGGCCCTCCTCCCAGTGCAAGCTGAGCCCAGCCTCTGGAGTTGCAGAGTCCTATGACTGTGCCTGACTTCCTCACTTCAGCGAGGTCCCATGTGTTTCCCCCAGTTGCAGTGGGGTGCTCCCCAGTTGCCTACTGCTGCATCTCTGCCATCCAAGCTAATAACTCTGGGAGCTGAGGAGTTCTGTTGGGGGCAGCAGCTGCTATTTCTGAGGTGCCTGGTGTGCCTTGTCAGCTGAGGGGTCGGCATCAATCCTGCAACTCCCAGTGCCTGCTGCTCCTGGAAAGCTGCTGTGAAGAGAGGAAATGGGTGTGTGTGTGCGTGTGCATGTGTGTGTATGTTTAAGAAACATAAATCTACGTACAGGTTTTAGTTTAAATGCTTGAAACCTTTCAGGGCCAAGAGCAAAGTGGCTCTGGAGGCCCTGGTGAAGCCATTCCTGGCTCAGGGCACAGCTGAGGTCTTCTCAAGTGCAGCGCCAGGAGAGCTGCCTGTTGGGCTGATGCCTGAGCTGGAAGGGAAGAAACCACTGCCCAGAGCCTGCTGGCAATCTGACTGCACGTTTCTCCCCATCACAGGCATAAGCCTTCGTGTCCCTGGTGCTGGTCAGATTCCCCCAAGGCTTTTCATGATCTGTCTCATATCATGTCCTCCATCTGTTTGTTTTTCCCACAGCCTATCATGGCCTATGCAATAAACCTACCATCTTGATTATTATTTTTTTTGGTGCACTCACTCTGATGATAAACGTTGCAATAAAAAGGAACTGTTTGTCTTATCTGCCTTGGGAGTGGTGTCTGAGAAGCAATGACCCGTTGGAGGGGGCAGGTGCCGTTCCCACGTCTGCTATCTCCCATCCTTTCATCTGCCCAGACTGCGGTAGCTCGGGGGGAGGTCTCAGGCCCTGCAGCAGCAGCAGTCCCATGGTTTGGGGAGGGCTGGGAGAGGGGGATGCAGATTGTGGGGATACCTGGAGAGATGGCTGAGGTGTGCTAGGAGTGAGATCATTACCCACTAAGTCACCCAGAGAGCAAGGCAGGGTGTAACCTGAAACTGGGTTCCAGCTGGTCAGACTGGTTTGGAGTTTAGGTCCGAAACCAAAGCAGACACCTTTCTTCTAGCACGAGTTGCTCCAGCTGTGTCTCCAGGCTGGTGATGGCTCAGGCCCTGCCATGTGAAGTTAGCTAAATGTAAATTGGGCTGATTGGCAATGGATTTGTATGGGAACCAGGTGAACCTGCCCCTGAGTCACTGACCTGGCAGCACTGGACCTCCAAACCTTGCTCTGCCTGAGGAAGGCATTCCCTCCTGCACTCTCTCTGCACTGTGGGGTTTGCTCTGTCACTGCCACCCCTCTCTTTTCCCCCCCTCCTCACCTACACCAGCTTTCCTGTCCTGTGGTTTCCAGCTGCTTGTCCTCTGAAGAGCTGCCTCAGGGCTGTGCCATGCTCTGCTGGTGCAGGTAACCCCCAGCATGAGAACGCTGCTCAAAACCAAGGCTGCTTCCCTGGAGACCCTCCAAAGAGGGGCAGCTACGAGCATTACAGCATCTTCCACCTAAAGCATATCTTGGTGTCTCTGGTGCTAGACGTGACCCTGGTGGAGTCTGCAGGTCAGAGCCCTCGTCTTTGCTCTGCAGCTTGCAAAGCACTTCCTTCTTCTGCCCCAAAAGGCAGAGGGCAGCGGGAGGGCAGGCAGCAGCAGGTGAGGGGCCAGACCCTGCTCCCGCTTGGCTCCTGGCAGGCACCCTCTGTGGCACAGGGACCCGCTGCTCCTCCTGCTCCGGAACAAAGAGACAGGGCCCATGAGCCACGGCAGTACAGCGTGACCCAGGGAAGCTCCACAACACCTGCCAGGCCCTGGCAGCAGCGCCCACACCTCTCAGGGCGGGTGCCAAACCTCTGCGTTCCCCACGTTCTGCCGAGTGGGGTCACTCGGTCCCTGCCAGCAGCTCCTGCGTGGGGCAGCCAGGGCAGGGGCTGCAGCTCTGCACCCCCAGGCGTCCCCCCACCCCTCTGTGGGGGCAGCTCACCCCTCACCGGCAGCAAGGTGAACACTCTCTGGGAAATCCCAGCTCTTTGAAGTGGGTTTGGTTTCTCAGATGGGAACGGAAGCCTGGATTTTGAAACTTCTTGCAAAATGAAAATCCCCTTCCCCCCAGAAGAACAGAACTGAAGACCATCCGGCTGTCAGCTTATACAGAAACGTGCTTTGGTGAAAACTGAGCTGTTCTGTTTTACTGGCCGTGCCTGACAGAGAGCAAATCCTTGCTATTCCCTCCACTGCACCCGAAAAGGAGCAGTTACGTGAAGCTGTAGGTTGTTCTTGGACAGAGCTGCTCCTCCTGGCTTGGAGGTCCCCAGCGTGGCCACTCTGGAGCCCATCGCCCAGCGCAGCTGCTCTGTGGGGCAGGGAGCTCCTGGGGATCTAGAGCTGGCCCCTTGTCCTTGCGGTGAGTGCAGACAATGTCCTTCCCACCAAGGTCAGTGTTTCTGAGGGGGTTGTTTGCACGGCCTATAGAGCCAGACTCTGGCCCAGCCCCAGGTAACCAGCTGCCTCCTCACAAGTGTCCACTCTGACTTCTCAGTGGCCTCCACTTCTGCAGGAGGAAGACCATCTAGCCTCTTGTCCTCTCTGGGCCAGCAAAGCCTTTTACCTGCCTTTCTCTGCCCATCAGGAAGCAGGGCTTGCCTGAGCTTTTGGATGAATTTGTGCTAGCAGGCTGGAGGGGACCTGGCAGGCTTTGCACAGCTGCCAGGATAGATGCAGGAAGCATTAGCTCACAGCTAAATATCGGGTGTCTCCAGCTTCCCCCATGGCACAATGGCTCTGCAAACAAGCACAGCAGTTGCCCCAGCATGACAAGGGATGGCTCCACAGAGGCAGGCCAGAATATTGTCCCCCACACAAAAGCTACAGTGATGTGATACTTTCTGGTAAGTTACTTTAGCTCTCTGGCCTCATTTATTGCATAAGGAAGAAATTATTTTGACTTTGAGGTCAAACAGTTCATTCCAGTTAAAAAACAGAGCTCTAGAAGTAGGGGGGATAGGGAGGGCAGAAGGAAGAATATGATTGTCTGCAAGCTCTGCGTAATGCAAAGAGAAATCTTGAATGTTGTTTTTCTTCCCCTCACTCTAAGCATTAGGGATGACCAGCCTTGCTCCTACTGAGTTATGCATGGAGATCCTAAACAGAGCAGATGCAGATTTTAAGTGCCATGGCTAGACTGGCATGTAATAAGAAAACATTGCTTGCTAAAGTAATGCCTTTGTGAGAAATAGCCCACAAGTACTTTCCAGACACTCATTTTTCTTTTGAAGAAATTGAGAGAGAAATTGGAAATACTCTGCCTTGGCCATAAAGCATGGAACTGCATGATACTGTAATAGCTTACGGTTGTGAAGAAATTGAGTCAGCTACAGAAATAATAGCAAATCTGATCTCTTCTGCAGCATGTAAAGGAGTACGGAGGAACCTTATTGCTAGGAAGCCTGGCTGACCAGTGTCACGGGGAAATGAGTGTTTCCTGGGCAAGGTGCCACCTGAGGCGTGACAGTGTTTCTGTGGCCCTTAGTGAATTATTGCCTCTCTGAGATGTCCTCATCTCCAGCTGTGTCAGGAGTTTTGAAACTCACCATCGGTTCCTGCAACAGCTCTAGGAGATTTTCACAGAAGCCAGACCCAACATTTAATTACTATCTTTTCTAGGTTGCCCAGAGCCAGCCTACATGAGAGGATATACAAAATGACAGTGAGCATTTGACAGGAGCTGCAGAGGCCAGGGGCCCTGCTGGAGCCAGCCAGGTGCTCCAGCAAGAAGAGGGGAAATTTTCCACAAGTCTCCATGCAGACAAAGTGTCTGTGTCTTTGTTCTCTGCCCTGACATACCTGACCCACATGCCAGATGCTTCAGGATTGTTAAAAAATACTTGGGACTGGCTGAAGCAAAGCACTGACCCAGGAATTTGAGCTGCTGTGACTTCCCTGGCCAGAAACTCTTCTTTAAATGGAAAAATTGTGTCCCTC